AGATAAAGATAAAGATAAAGATAAAGATAAAGATAAAGATAAAGATAAAGATAAAGATAAAGATAAAGATAAAGATAAAGATAAAGATAAAGATAAATACAGATAAAGATAAATAAATTTTAGGATAAAAATATAGAGAAAGATAAAGATAACCGTAAAGATAAAGATACAGATAAGGAAGAAGATTTAGATTTAGATTTAGATTAAAGGTTATTGTGCATTATTATGCAAAAATATTCACATAAAATATGGTGATACATACTATATATAAACCGGTAATAGGAAGAACTTTTACTTCAGTCGCGCGTGGGATCCCCACACATAAAATTTTTTTAGTTTAGACCCTGATTTTAGGACATAATCTGCAAGCCAAGCAGTCTGAAAAAAAACAACTTGGTAAATAACACCCTAATATACATAGGTACAGACAATGGAGCATTTGAATTTTGACATTACGACCGATGAAGAAACCAGCTAAATAAATATGCATTTCACTCAACAAGATCCATAAATAATAAAATAAAAGAAACAAGTGGTATTTATAAAAACAAAAAAAGAAGAACAAGAGCAATCGAACAGTCCGACACATTATTAACACGACCAAAGATATACCAGCGAACAAAGAAAGAACAGAACAGAACAGAAAAGTAACGAAAGGAAGAAATGTGAGAAGATAGCAATAATGTGGCAGTGTGGTTTGCGCAACCAATAAAATAACGAGAGAAAATCGATAGAAAGCAAAAGAAAAAGTTTGCGAACTTCCTGTTGCTGTTGCTGGATATATTTACTATATGTATATATATGTNCATTATTAACACGACCAAAGATATACCAGCGAACAAAGAAAGAACAGAACAGAACAGAAAAGTAACGAAAGGAAGAAATGTGAGAAGATAGCAATAATGTGGCAGTGTGGTTTTCGCAACCAATAAAATAACGAGAGAAAATCGATAGAAAGCAAAAGAAAAAGTTTGCGAACTTCCTGTTGCTGTTGCTGGATATATTTACTATATGTATGTATATGTACATTGGTATGTATGTATGTAAATATGCACCAACACCAAGTACAAGTGGTAGAGTCGGTACAACGCAGTAGNGCTCGGCCAAACACTAACATATGTGTAAGCGCCAATCTATTATTATGTATATGTACATTGGTATGTGTGTAGATATGCACCAACACCAAGT